TGCAAATCAAAACTACAATGAGGTATCACCTCACACTGGTCCAAATGGCCATCATCAAGAAATCTGCAAACAGTAAATGCCAGAGAAGGTGCGGAGAAAAGGGAACCCTGTTGCACTGTTGGTGGGAATGTAAATTGATACAGCCACTATGGAGAACAGTATGGAGGTTCCTTAAAAAATTAAAAATAGAACTACCACACGACCCAGCAATCCCACTACTGGGCATATACCCTGAGAAAACCACAATTCAAAAAGAGTCATGTACCACAATGTTCACTGCAGCACTATTTACAATAGCCAGCACATGGAAGCAACCTAAGTGTCCATCGACAGATGAATGGATAAAGATGTGGCACATATATACAATGGAATATTACTTGGCAATAAAAAGACACGAAACTGAGTTATTTGTAGTGAGGTGGATGGACCTAGAATCTGTCATACAGAGTCAAGTAAGAAAGAAAGGGAAAAACAAATACCATATGCTAACACGTATATATGGAATCTGAAAAAAATAAATAAATGGTTCTGAAGAACCTAGGGGCAGGACAGGAACAAAGAAGCAGATGTAGAGAATGGACTTGAGGACATGGGGAGGGGGAAGGGTAAACTGGGACGAAGTGAGAGAGTGGCATGGACATATATACACTACCAAATGTAAAACAGACAGCTAGTGGGAAGCAGCCGCATAGCACAGGGAGATCAGCTCGGTGCTTTGTGACCACCTGGAGGTGTGGGATAGGGAGGGCGGGAGGGAGACACAAGAGGGAGGGGATATAGGGATATATGTATATGTATAGCTGATTCACTTTGTTATACAGCAGAAACAACACACCATTGTAAAGCAATTATACTCCAATAAAGATGTTTAAAAAAATTATCCATATAGAAAAAAAATAACAAATACCTACATAATCACAACCCAGAATTAATATGCTAACAACATTTTGCTTTAGATCTCTTTTTAATTACTGTTAAAAAACTAACCATTCCAGACTTTGAGCCTTTGTTTGAGTCATTCTGCTTCCTTTCTTCTCGGAGACAACCACCATCCAACTCATTCAGGTTTCTATGTGTTATTACATACATTAATACCATTTTAAATTTGCATTGCATCAGATCAATATACATATATAATAGTCATGCTGTACTTTGTATATACAACACTTTATTTTTGAAATCTGTCACTTTTGAAATATTTTAACAAACTTAGAAATAAAGGTCATTAATCTCTGAGTACCTGGAAAGAACATGGGTTCTCTATTTGATAAGGTCAGAACCCGTATGTGTCAGGTATCATAAATATCTATTAGATCAAGTTTGTTAACTGAATTCTTTAGACCTTCTGTATGCTTGAAAATTTTTTTGTCTGCTTGACTTATTAGTTACTAAAAAAGGCACGTGCAAATCTCCTGCCGTAACTATGGATTAGTCAAATTCTTTTTATAATTCTGTCAATTTTTGCTTTAAATACATACTTTTTAACAAATTTTTCCCTTGTGAAGAAAACTTTTAAGACCTACTCTCTTAGCAACTTTCAAATATACAATACAGTATTGTTAACTATCATCACCATGCTGTATATTACATCCCCAGGTCTTATTTATTTTATAACTAGAAGTTTGTACCTTTGAACACCTTCACTCTTTAAATATTTAATATTAAAATATTTAAATATGCTTCAAATATTTTGAAGCCATGATACATAAAGTTTAATTTTATTATTTCTTGGTGGAATAGTCCTTTTATCTTGTATGTGATAATGCTTTCATCTCTATTAATGTTTCACATGTTAAATAATTTTTTATTAATCAACAAGTATTTATTTGACTGGCACTTCCTGGTACATTTTTTCCAAAAATGTATTTTACATTTCTGGGTTACTATGTAATGTTTTGTATCTAGTACAAATGGAATATATCTACGTAGTATCTGACAAATTTGAATGTCTCTTTTACATATGTGAATTTAATCTATTTTTTATGATGATTTCTGGTATGTTTTATCCTATCTCCACCATCTTCTTTTGTGTTTTATTTTTATAATGATTTTTCTTTGCTTCATTCTTTTTCTGCTCTTGCACTGAATTAATTGACATGTTTCTTCTTTATTTTTTCCCCTTTATTTCTCTCTATTGACTTGAAATAGATTTAGGAATAGATTTGTTTTTATTTTTCCATTTCAGAACTGAGACGGATCTTTCAGTCTGCAAATCTATGTTTTCACAAGTTTTCTAAAACTCTAGACCATCAAACCTGTTTTCAAACATTTTTTCTCCCCAACTCTCTATCTATCCTTTTGTAACTTGTATATTGGTCTTTTCACTCCATATTTCCATGTCTTTTCATTTCTTCTTCCTATTTTCCAACACATAATTTCTCTCTGTTGTATTCTAAATATCTTCCTCTCTTCAACTATAGCTAGCCTTTTCTTTGTCATATATACTATGGTTTCAATTTCAAAAATCACATGCTTTTAGTGTCTGGAATTTATATTTTAGTATTTTAAAATTTCCCTATTCTTTTTCTATAATGTTCTGATTTTGTCTAATAGTTGATGTTGTTTCTTTTATTCTCTTTAACATATGGAAAATAGTCCTTTGGTCATTTCATACAGATATTTCTTGGCATGTCATTCAAGCCATTTTGTACATTTACTCTCATTCTCTGTTCATTACTTCCTATTATATATTATTATTTGTTGTGATATCATTCCCTTAGTGCTATTTCCTGGGAAGTCTACATGTGCTGGGTTGTGGAAAATTCTTCATGGGATTTTTCATATGGCTCTACTACAGCCTCATGTATTTCACTAATTTTAGACTCATGTGTGCTTATTTTTGGACTGATAATTGCTAAAATGTATGAGAAGTGCAAATTTGAACTCCACACTCAAGTCTGGCAATTCATATTTGGAGTTGTGATTTCTCATGGTGGTTCTTTTCCCACCACACCATGCTGGTACTTCCTAGTCTCTAAGTTTTTGTAGCCTCTACTTCAAGGACTAGACAACACTTGATGGTTCTAAGTTTTATATAAGGAGTTCAGTTCTAGTCCCCTGCCAACCACAGCCCTAGGTTTCACTCTGATTTGAGTCCAGGTCTTCGAATCTTAGCCACTGCAGCACATGTCCAGTTCTAATAAACTTTCAGCTTCAGCTTCCCTCACTTGTAACTATAGCTTTCCAATCCTTCTTTATTTCTACCTCCTAGGGACTTTCCTTGTTGTTTTTAAGAATTGACATGTTTTTTTGAAAGTCTGTTGTTAAATTTATCAACATGTGTTTTAGATAGGGGTGGCATTTTCTATGTTAGTTTAGCACACCATATTGACCAGAGATCTAATATACTATTCTCTGTCCTTGAAATTGAGTAACTTCCCTAAATCTTATCTTCATGAAGCTATCCTCTATTAGTTTTTCCTAAAATATAATTAGCCTTATTGATGCTTTACTTTAGTAAATGCTCTACTATGAATTTGAATGTTGATTCTGTCCCATTAGCTCCATTCTCCCCTTTAGCATTTTATTTGCCATATGCTGTACTTCTGAAAAATTTTTCATGTATATCGTCTTCTTTCAGATGACAATCACCTCTTTATCTATAAGACTCTTTCCAGCCTGTTCTGAGTAACCTTGAGTTGGTTTTCTACTGTGTCAGTTTTGCCTCTAAGGCAGGAATAGACAATTATCAATTTGTTAAGAGGTCAATTCTCCCCAAACTGATCTAAAGACTCAGTAAAATCCCAACCAAAATCCTAGTAGGCTTTCTTATGGAACTTGAAAAGCTAATTCTAAAATTCATATGGTTATATAAAGGACCAAGAAAATTTTGAAGAAGAACAAAGTTGGAGGATTTATACTATCACATTTAAGATTTACTATAAAGCTATAGTAAATAAGACAGTTTGGTACTGATGCAAAGAAAATAAACAGGTCAAGATAAAAAAACAAAGTCCATTTAAAAACCACACACACATGATCAATAGTTTTTGACCAATACAATTCAATGGGAAAGTGTGGGGGGGGTAGAGGGGTTTTTTTCAATAAATTATTATGAAACATCTACATATCAGAGAGAACCTTCACACCTACCTAACGTTACGTATAAAAGTAATTGTGATGCATCATAGCTTTAATGTGCAGGCTAAAATCTAAAGGCTTTAACAGAATATTTTCAAGAACTTAGAAACGAAATTGAGTTATTTGTAGTGAAGTGGATAGACCTAGAATCTGTCATACAGAGTGAAGTAAGTCAGAAAGAGAAAAACAAATACCGTATGCTAACACATATATATGGAATCTAAGAAAAAAAAAAAAAGGTCATGAAGAACCTAGGGGCAAGACGGGAATAAAGACACAGACCTACTAGAGAATGGACTTGAGGATATGGGGAGGGGGAAGGGTAAGCTGTGACAAAGTGAGAGAGTGGCATGGACATATATACACTACCAAACGTAAAATAGATAGCTAGTGGGAAGCACCACATAGCACAGGGAGATCAGCTCGGTGCTTTATGACCACCTAGAGGGGTGGGATAGGGAGGGTGGGAGGGAGGGAGACGGAAGAGGGAAGAGATATGGGAACATATGTATATGTATAACTGATTCACTTTGTTATACAGCAGAAACTAACACACCATTGTAAAGCAATTATACTCCAATAAAGGTGTTAAAAAAAAAGAAATTAGGATGGATTATAATTCATTGGGCAGGATGCAAAAAGTACTAACCATAAAAGAAAAAAGTTAAATTGGACTTCTTTAAAATGAAAATCATCCAAAAAATACCATTAAGAACAAGCCACAGACTAAGAGAAAAATAGTCTCTACACATTTATCTAACAAAGAATTCATATTTAGAATGTGTAAAAAACTAGTGTACGTCAATAAGACAAAAAGACACCAATATTTTAAGTGAGCAAAAGAACTGAACAGACACTATACAAAAGAAGATTTATAAATGGCCGATAAACAAGAAAAGGTGTTTAACATCATTACTCACACTCCCTGCAGTTAGAGGTCTGCGAGGCACATCTCATGGCTGCCACAGTCCACCACTCGTGCCATGTTCACAGGCTTTTCTTCCTGAGGAGAAATCCAAAAAAGGAAGGTCAGTGGGATGAACCACATCCCTGTCACATGGTTAATCTCAGGGCCCTACTGGCGTGCATGCTCTCCTTTCTCCAGTATCCACCGTAAATACCCCCCCACCCTCAGATATTGCCTCTGTTGGCCTAAGTGGTGGGGTGATCCAAACTTTCAAAAGATATCATCAATGGAATAAAAAGACAAGCCACATTGTGGAAGATAATATTCTCAACGCATGAAACTGACAAAAGGCTTGTACTAAGAATATATAAAGAAATTCTACAAATTAATAAGAAAAAGACAGACAACCCAATAATAAAGTGGGTAACAGACTTTAACACCTTGTTTAAAAAGGGATATCCCAAAGGCCAAAAAATATATGAAAAAGTAATCAACTTCTTTATTCACTAGAGGAATTCAAATTAAATCTACTGTGAGATACTACTACCCACATATCAGAATGACTAAAATGAAAATAAGACAGCACCATGGATTAATGAGGACAGGGAGCAACTAGAACTTTCCTACATTGCTGAAGTGCCCTTTACTATTCTCATTTTTAAAATATTTGTTTTGAATTGTACATAGAATAAAAAGACATAGGTATTAACATTTCGAGCAGGATGTTGACACATTTCCATTATTATTAATCTGATGATTTTATAGTCTTTGATATTTTCTCTTTTAATCATTTTTATCAGTTTTGTAAACCTGGATTTATACCATCATTTAGGGGAGGGAGGGGTATCTTTTGCCCATCATTAAATAGAACACTATACTTTAAGAAAAAGACTGCATTGCTAAACTAGCATTATGAGAGAGTATGAAGAAGGAAGGAAAAAAGAATGGAGGCATATGAAAAATGATGCAGATGTATTTGCATTTTTTCCCATTCACTCCATTTTTAATCTAATCATCTACATTTAAAAGCTAAAGCTTTTCCAGAGATTGCTCTTTGCTCCCAGTCCTTTCAGGTAGAGTTCTGCTAGTTATTGCATAGGCTAAATGCAGGAGTAGAGAGAGGCACAAGGTAATCAGGAGTCAGCCCTGAAATCATCCTTCTAACTCTACTCTTCTTGCTCCTCAGGTAACTGCACATCTTCAATTGTTTATATTACATTTCTTGAAATGATGGTACAGGAGGAATAAGTTTCCAGGAAAGACACCATTATAAATATGAGTTAAAATTATTAAGCTGGCCCCATATTCCCTGGGCTCCTCTAAAGCTCTTCCTTTCCTTCCCCTTCACTAGTATTCCAACTCCCTAAACCACTCTAGATATGGGACAAAAAAACGGAAAGTTCCTCTGATGACAGGAATTCAGCCTTGAAGGTTTTTCCATAAAACTTTTGATAGGGTTTATTAAACTATGATTCACAAATGTAATCGGGTATACATGATATTTTGCAGTATGTTAAAAATAAGAAATGCATCACAGCTCAGGTGAGACTTACAGATACTACATTCCATGGTTCTGATGAAACACAATCATGGATTATGATTCTTTAGGCACAGTGGAAAGGCTAATTACATTGACTATGTCATCAGTTTATAGATTCAGATTTTATATGTTCTGTGTGACTTTTAATAGGGAAAAATAAAGACTGATTTATAAAAAAGTGGGCTGAATTTATCACTTTGGTCTACTATACTCCAGTTAAATTCAGCTCCTCTCCTCAAAATAATATCAGTTTATCCTGGCTTGATAGATTATAATTAATATACTCTCTCCTGTGCTTTCTGACAATTGTCCCATTTTGAGGGGAAACAAATACATTAGGGCAGTGATTGTTAACCTTAGGTACAAACTGAAATCACTTGAAAACTTTTAAAAAATCCTATTGCTCAGGCCATGCACCATACAGTTAAATCAGAATCCCTGGAATTGGAGCCACAGTCTAAAGCATTTTTTTAAAGGTCCCCCAGGTGATTTAGAAGTGCAGCCAAGGTTGGGAACCACTGAGTCTGAGCCCCTGCCTCCGCTACCATCCTTGACAGTGTTCACATACATTACTGATATTGATCAGATACTAGTCAGTCAACCACTCAATTGACCAAAAGGGTCATGCAGACATACTTAAGATATTAAAAATATTTAGTTAAGTGTTTGCTCAAGAAGCTTTTGTTCAAATCTGCTCTAAGTAATTTGAAGAAGTAATTAAATATGTATGTGTGTGTATATATATATATGTATATAAACAAAAAATTAAATTCAAATATATAGGTATTATTTAACAGTTCAATTCAATACTGTAAACATGATAAGAAACCATAATGTGTTACGACAACTTCCAGGAAAACAGAACTCTTGAGTATTTAAATTTCTTTTTTGCCATGTAGACCCAATCACTTGTATGCATGTTTACCTATTTTTAAATGAAGACATATGCCTTGGATAAAGAATTTTGAAAACAAAAGAAATAAATAGCACTAGCACCAAAATATACATGGTAAAGCTTCTTCTATAAAACCAGCCTTGGAGGACAGGATCAGCATCTACAGGGGAGACATCTCTCTAAATGTGGCTTTGTGGTTCACAACATCCTTAAAACCCTTGTAACTACTTACAAAAGGATGTGAAGTGTGTGTCTGTGCATGGGGTTGCCCACTAATACGGATTTTTCTGGGGAAAGGAATCATGGCTCTGATGAGGTTCCTATGAGGGGAATCTACTTTCAGTTAAGGGTGGAATGACATTCTGTGATTAGTCAGCAAGCATTAAAGGATGGCATATCTCCATCTTTGTGGAGACAGTTGACCACAGTACACTGGATCTGAACTCAGATAACCAGGATTTGAGTTTCAGCTCTACAACTTACTTGCTGAGTAAATGCAGCTTTCCAAGTTTCAGGTTTCTGGTCTATAAAATGGTGATAATAATACCTGTCCTACCTACCTAATAGGATTATTTAAAAGTTTAAAATCAAATAATTATTTGTTAATTCTAAACTACAGTTCAATGAAAAGAAAAGATTTAGCATAAAAAACAATCCCTGTGTTGACTGATAGCTTCCAGGCCAGTTCGTATGAACTCCTGTTTAAGCCCAAAGAAGAGAGATGCTCAAGCAGATGCTGAAATAATGGTTTATGCATGATCTAAGTAAGTTTCAGGGAATACAACTGACATATATTTGAAACCTTCTTTACAGGGTTTGGCACATAGATGTGTGTGTGTTTGGAGGTATCTTCTCCTCTTTAAAAGAACAACTTCAGTCCAGTGAGACTTCGGCACAGTGGTTATTAACAGGAAGCAATAGGAGACAATCTGAGAAGCAAGGAGAGGGAAACACACCTTGATGAATCCTCTTGGTAACACCTCCAAAAGAAACAAAGGCCAAAAGAGGAAGAAACATGTAGTGACTGAGAGGACCTATTCAGGAACACTCATGAGACACTAGCTTGTCTTGCAGAAACAGTTGAGGACATTCTAAGTGTATTTATGGAGTGGTGGTGAATTTTGTATTACCTTAACCAGGAAATGGGGGAGCAATAAACCCTTGCTACATCTGATATCATCAATGAAGAAAAAACAATGTTATAATGCACTCTGCTCTATTTTACAACTTCATATCATGGGTGTCTATTTGTATAAAAAATTCTAAATAAATTCAGTTGTTTATATACTTCATTTATAATTTAACCAGTCAAATAATTATTGCTTTTATATACAATTAAGTTTATAACCCTGTGCAGATCATGCACGTTGTATCTGCCTGATATGCCCTTCTTAATATTTCTAAAACCTCTCTCCCCGCCCCCCCACCACACACTTGAATAAAGCATTAAAAGGCTTAAAGATTGATTTTACATTCCCTGGATTAGAGCAGGATTTGTTAATTGCCACACTTTAGACAGCATCTCTAACACTGCATAAAAGTCACAAGGTTAAATGAGGTTTACTCCTTATTTTAAAATTGATTTGTGTTTTTGTTTCAGGAAGATATTCTATTTAACAGGATTATTATCATTGTTACAAAACCTATTTTTTCTAATGTTTGATGACAAGGAGATTTCCTGTTTGTAAATACTTTTACAAGATTTTGATCAAAAACATTGTAGTACCTATGTACATAGCAATCAAAAATGTTCTCAAGGAAAAATGAATATGATTTGAAACCTTAGCCTTATCTTTGATCCCATTTTCTCTTTCTTCCACCTCTGATCATTCAGCAAGCATTTAAGGTCTCCTAGATCTCTGACCCGGCCTCATCTCTGTGTACACACTGAAATCTTGCCAGTTCCCCAGACAAACCACACTGCTCAACATGCTGTGCCTTGCACTCACACTGCATCCTCTGTGATGGACATATCCCCTTTGCCCAGTGAACACCAGGTCAGAATTCAAAGCTCATCTCAAGCACTGTGTTTTATATAGAGGATTCCTGAATAAACATCCTTACTACCAGGTACAATTAATCACTCCTTCATCTATGCTTCTTTGTAACTGCCTGATCAGCCTTCTTCCCATGCATAGACAAAACCACATGATTTCCATAAAAAGTCCTTGCAACCAGACTAGAACATGTTCATCTTCAGAGCTGACCAATAATTTGACACTCCCTCAAACTGGTATTATTTAATATTTATTTCTAAAGAAATAACCTCCCACCAACAGTGCAAGAGGGCTCCCTTTTCTCCACACCCTCTCCAGCATTTATTGTTTGTAGGTTTTTTGATGATCACCAGTCTGACTGGTATGAGGTGATACCTCATTGTAGTCTTGATTTGCATTTCTCTAATGATTAGTGATGTTGAGCATCCTTTCATGTGTTTGTTGGCAATGTGTATATCTTCTTTGGAGAAATGTCTATTTAGGTCTTCTACCCATTTTTGGATTGGGTTGTTTGTTTTTTTAAATCATCACTTATAATTGAATAGCACTGGCTATCATGTTCACTTAGGATAGTGGTTATGGTAGATACAATAAAAAGACTTGTCTAAAATATCTCTTTAAAGTTCTTTGTTCTGGCTTTCATTCCATTTCATCAACATACTTA